CATATTTATAAAGTGAAATGAAAAAGGATCCATCCATCCATCCATCCATCCATCCATCCATCCATCCATCCATCCATCCATCCATCCATCCATCCATCCATCCATCCATCCATCCAAAGGTCACCAGTTCATCACAAGCCAACACACAGACAACCACAGAACATTCTGGCCTGTGTTTGGTGGAAAATTAGTACAATTCTGAACACACTATCCACACCTTGAGTCACGGTAGTGGCAGCTTCATGCTGTGGAGATGGTTTTCTCCATCAGGGACATGGAACCTGTTCAGAGTCTCAGAGCTAACGGGAAGAGACATGGAGGTTTTACACCTGCATTTGATTCTTGGTTGTTGTGTGAAGGTACGTCGGGCCGACCCATTAACACGGAGGACCTGAAGAAGCTCAGGTACCTGGAGTGTGTGATCAAGGAGGCTCTGCGGCTGTTTCCCTCGGTGCCTTTCTTCGCTCGAAGCCTCTGTGACGACTGCAATCTGAGTGAGTCACACATGACAAGAACACCTCGGATTAAAACATCCATACTGTGGTAGTTGTTCAAAAGGGAAGCTGTGCATGCATCAGGATGGTGTTTCTGTTTGATTGTTTTGTACATGTCTTATTGTTCTTATGGGCTCCAGGTCAGGTCTCCCTTCATCACTTTATATCACCTCTTGGTACTTGTGGCTTACAAAAAGCCACAAGTAATCAGAATTAAGTTAAAATTAACTTAATTCTTACTAATAATTTGATCCACATGTGCATTGTTTTATAAGGATATTATATAACATTCCAATGATACTAGCTTTCAGTTGTTGTCTGGAAATATGGAAATTTGCATGATCTAACTGGTTCCACAAGGCCACAATTCCCCAAAGAAGACTGGGTAATTTAAAGAAAATTTCTTTATATAATCTTTTGTCAAAATGTGTAAAAAGTGGTCGCTAAGAAACGTTGCCTGTCTATTCCTGCCACATCATTTCTCATGTGCTTCCCAATTAAAACAAATAGAGAAACAGAAGCACTTTAGTTTAGTTCTTCCTCTAAGCACATGGCAAATGTTTGCAGTGGGGTGCACCGATTTATTGGTCAGCCAATTTTTCAGGGCCAGTTTCCTTCATTTTGGGAGATGAGTTATCCACCAATACTTGTATATTTTTTGTCTGAAATGTCATTAAACATTTTAACAGACAGACTGGCCCACCAGGTCATGTCTGCACATTTGCATTTAACAATAGTCTCCTCACTTTTGCTGTATTTAGTGACATTTCAGACATAAAAAATTGGTGTTGGTCAAAATTGGAATCGGTAGGTCAGGCTTTTTAGAGAACAGTAATTGGCAGTCAGCCAGAAAACTGCAATCAGTGCACCTGTAGCTTACAGTCACTGAAATAAAAAAGTCATGACGTGCTTAAAATGATTTTTCTAGAGTGAATTTTCAGAGTTCCAGCTTCTGTGAAAGTAAAGTTTGACAGAAGCTGGCAAATTTTACTTCAACCTGTAGTTTAATTATTGTTTGATCTTACACATGTAGTAATTAGTACAAAAAAACTGAAATTGGTTTTTACTTCCACTTTCAGATGGTTTCAAGGTTCCCAAAGGAGCAAATGCGATCATCATCACCTACTCTCTTCACCGTGATCCGCGGTACTTCCCAGAACCGGAGGAGTTCCGGCCGGAGCGGTTTTTTCCCGAGAATTCAGCTGGAAGGCCTCCGTACGCATATGTCCCATTCTCCGCTGGACTCCGCAACTGCATAGGTGAGAAAAGGACATTCTGGGTTTTGGTCTTTTCACACACAGGCTTTGTTTTAACGTGCCATGTCTCATGCTGCTATTCGTGTGGTGTTCTGATGTTCAGGCCAACGTTTTGCGCTGATGGAGGAGAAGGTGGTCCTGGCGTCCATTCTGCGTAACTTCAACGTGGAGGCCTGTCAGAAACGTGACGAGCTTCGTCCGGTAGGGGAGCTCATCCTGCGGCCAGAGAATGGCATTTGGATCAAACTGGAGAAGAGGGAACCGCTAACTTCATAACTCAGATTCTTGTCATCCATTCATTCATTTATTCATGATGTTAATTTTGTAACTTTTGTAAATTGAAAGTTATTGAAACTGATTTGTAATCTAAATGAATACAAAAAAATGTAATGTTTCTAGGGTATTTTATTCTTCTTCTATTGTCTTTGTAGCATGAAAAACTTAACGGGGCGGTATTATGTAAAATCAACTTCTTTGAGCTTTTAAATCATGTTACAATGTTATTCGCTCATCAAAAACATACCTGAAGTATTGGCTTGATTCTTTCATGCATGTTTGAAAAATCCTTTTATCTGCCAAGGCAACCACTCACCAGTGCACAGCTCCTGGGTTTATCTAGCTCAGCCCTGGAGATGCAGCTCCCCCTCAGAAGTGCAGTTTCTAAGCTACCGAGCTTCGATGTCACAGAACGCCCCTCCCCTGCGACTCCCTCACTCAGCTCCTTCAGACTAGCCAACAGCAATTAGCAATGAGGCAAACTACTGGGCTCATTATAAGAGCTACTTCTCAGTGAAACATTGGTTCAAATGTTGTTAAAGGGTTAATAGAGGAACTTTTAAACAGTGTCACTGTTTTTAAATTGTTTTATTCTGTTTTATAATTGTGTATATGTATTAATCAATTTTGTTTTGTAACCAGGTTGCTGTGTACTGCAGACTTCTGCCCAGGTCCCCCTTGAAAATGAGATCTAGATCTCAATGGGGTTTACCTGGTTAAAAAAAAAAAAAAAAAAATGTTGTGATGGCCTCCTAAAGGCAGAATTTCAGGAAGAGCAGGAGTATAAAAAAAAAAAAAAAAAAAAACAGTGGACCAATTTCATGGAGTTATATCAGGAAGTAAAAATTCTTTTCGGCCATATTTTATAGATATAGTAATTCTAGAATAGCTGAAGGTGACATAGTTATTTGATTGAGCTAAAATGGCATTATGTGCCTGGAAATCACATAAACCTGCCCCTTTAAGATCATATATTGGTCTTAAAGAGTCTGTATTTGTATTTTCATTGCATCTTGAGGGTGTAACTGTGAATGCCTGTAATCCTTCTTGTTATTAAATATGGAACTGGCCTTTTTAGTGATCATCTAAAATTCATTAAATCAAGAAATGTGACGTTACTGGAGCACAAAGTCTAAGTCTAAATGTTCAGGCCATGCTGGGGTTTCTAGCTCCAAAGGATTCCACTCCTAAAGGATGTTTAATTCTGTTGTTGTGATGTTTTATCTTTGCAGTTAACTCTTTTGTTTCTACACTTTGTCTTGTGTCATCATCACACGATGCAATATCTCTGTACATATTTTAAACCATACCAACTGAAAAGGAGAATGATAAAATTGCCAAAATCTGAATTCTTAAGTCCTTTTCAATGCTATTTTTAAAATGTGCATGTTTCAGAAACTGCTCTCAATGTCACAAACAGGTCACTTTAACAGATTGATGAAGCCATTGTAGCTACATCTCGCATGTAAACATGATTTTTTAGGTACTATAACTTAACTGCTATAACTTAGTTCGTCTTAGTGGGAGTAGAATTGAGTTTTTCTCTAAAATATTAACATTATATTGTGGTTTTATGCCACTATAAAATGCTGCATATGAAAGTGGAGCAACCCTTGAACTGAGATCCTGTCACAGAGCTTAAGATATTGTCACTGATTCAGAGTTGGAATAAACCAGAGTATAATTTGAGTTTTTAATTTGTTAAAATAACCACCAGATGGCATTAGTGAGTTCAAAGGAGGAAACAGTTACTGTGTGGAAAAGCTTTGGGCTTTACTGTAATTGCAATTGTGTGTAAAACTGTGACAATCGTGGAAGAACCCAAATAGGAAAAAAGCTGTGTTTATGCTTCCAAAATTAAAAAAAATTACAAACCTTAATCATTGTTAGGGACACAGGATTGTTTTTTTAAAGAGTCAAAACAATAACCTTATGCCTAAAACTTTGTGAAGGTTTTAAAATGTCTATTATTTAAAATTGATTTCCTAATCAACATTTAAGCGTAAAGAACAAACTTTGTGAAAATCCTGTTAGCAATGATCCAAAGTCTGTTAGGTTTGTGGGTTTAGAGGACGACCCAGACAGGATAAGGGAAGACATATGAAAATGAAGTTATTAAGGAACTGAAATACATACATGATGCAGGAGGACACAAAGTAAGCAGGGTGACAGGAGCAGAACAGCATTTAATGTAGTGGATGATCCAGCGACGAACAATGATTCATTTCTATGCTGAGGCAGAGTCTGCTTCACTCAGTTTACTAGGACTACCTGGTCTAGAGTTACACATGCACAATATTACTCCTATTTTTTGAATATTTAGCTGAACTTCTGGGGACAATCAAGGCGTTAGATATTTTTTTATGTGTCCATCCCCTGACCTATACTTTTCAATAATCTTTTCTCTTATTTGCTTGGAGTGTTTTTAGTCTTATATTGTCATGATAACCAGTAATACTGGATCTTCCAGACTCAGGTGTCTTAATACCACCATCACTTGAGACACTCACTACACTCAGGTAATCATATTTCTGCTCATTGCACAACTACCGACACTATCTGACTGGACCTCTATTGAATTAGGTCAGTAACTAGGGGCTAAGTTTATATGGGGTTACTTATTTTATATTACATGCTTTTATTTAAATGTCCTTTTGTAGATTTTTTCTTTTTTCTTTCTTTTGGTATTTTTTGTTTGCCATAAAATCTGGCATTGTTGATCCTGATAAAATAAATAATAAGGTAAATTATTCAAGGAGGTTTAGGGAATACGTTTTATAGCCGCAGTAGATTTCTTTCTTTCTTTAAAAAATACACAGCCAATCATATGCATGCCAAGCTTTTTGTGTAATTTCTTACAGTTTTAAAGTAAATTATCCTCTACTTTGTGTTGGTCTATAGGTCTTAAATNTGAAACATTCCAGATTTTTATAATAAAAGTTGCTGTTGTTTGTGATGACATTGGTAATCACTTCTGTTCTGGTTTTCTGTCCTGCAGCCGACTTTGGTTTTGCACGATACCTCCAGAGCAACATGATGGCAGCCACACTCTGTGGCTCACCAATGTACATGGTCAGTTGATTTGAGATGCTTATTTGTTTTATATACGGAACTATGTTTCATTTATTAATTTTTTTTTCACACACTTAGTTCTAAAAGTAAAATCTGCACATATATATATATATATATATATATATATATATATATTTATGCCTACTTGTATATGAGTGGGGAGGGAAATTGATTAGAATTTCAGTACCAATTCCATTATTAATCTCTCTTACCGATTCTCAGAGTGAGGAAATGAACTATAATTCAACCTATACATCATGTTTTATTCTGTTCAAATAAAATTAAAGCTGGTTTAAAATATAAGAATAATTTTTTCAAATGAACATTTCATCATGAAATGCAGCTTTCTGTACATGAACAGTTTTTGTGCAGACAAATCTGCATATTTGCCTTTTCAGGAAGGCTTTTTCAAGACGTGAGGTGTGTCCAGCTGTGGAAATCAGCCTCTCAGATGCTATTTGTTTATATTCGCCTCTGTCATTTCACTCTTCCCTGCCTCGATGAAAGAGGTTCCTAACACTGTGAGAGCTTACCTCTGAGCCAGCATCACTCTAGCAGTCCTCAACTACAGTCATATTCAATAAAGCAGAATTTTAATGAAAAGTTTATGCATTTCTGTAACTCGGTTCACAAGTTAAACATGTTATACTGATTAATTCCCCACATGCTCCTATAAAGCTTGTTGTATGACAATGTCTTGCTTAAAGCTAATGAAAACATATTTAAGATTAGAATATTAAATCAAACCAATAAAAAATAATCCTAATGAAGAAATGTGGGTCTTATCAAAATATGTTTTAGAGCTGTTTTCAAAAAGTGCTTTTTAATGTAAAAAAACGTGCCTTATTGGAGACATATTCTGATGTATTGAGTCTGACTGTAAATGACATGGAGATTATTCATACACTATGACGCTAACATTAAAACAATAACCAGGATGCAGGGTTTAACGTTACTTGGGACATTCATAGCAGATGCAGTGGTGGAAGGTCTCCTTGAGAGTCACCACCGTTGCTAAGCAACGTATCAAACTCTACAGTCATACAAATCACAGCATGCTGTGTGGTAAACTGTTTGAAGATGTTGGAGGTATGTCTTCCTTTTATTGTGATTAAAGCTCTGAACATGTTGCAACTGACCTTAGTATTATTTTTTGTGAAATATAAACATACTTTGAATACTTTCAAAAGCAAAATACATGGCGTGTAAATATGTCATCACGCAAATGCGTCGCATGTTATTGGAACCATTATGACCATTCCAAGTAATTGAATCAGAAGAACTGGTTCTCAATTTCCATCCCTGCTGATGGGAACAGGGTGCAGCTGGTGAGGCAGATCAACTCAGGGATAGTATTGATGATTCTTGTATTTTTGTATTCTACAGGCTGCTGGTGCTCAGCAATTTTTCCTGAATTCTGCATTTGGAGCTAAAAACTGATGTGGTTCACATTGTTGGGGAGCAATATACAGGGTCAACATTTGGAGATCTTACCTTTGCCAAGAGCTTGCTTTGTAACTCTTCCTGCTCCCCTTGTTGTGATGTGTTCTATCAGGCCCCAGAGGTCATCATGTCCCAGAACTATGATGCTAAGGCCGACCTGTGGAGCATCGGAACGGTCATCTATCAGTGTCTGGTTGGCAAGCCACCATTCCAGGTTAATATGATGCACAAGAACCATAGCAATCAGATAAGTGAGTCAGGTCATGCGTTCTAACATCACATATTGTTTTATCACCTTTGTCAGGCTAACAGTCCACAGGATTTGAGGATGTTTTATGAGAAGAATAAGAGTCTACAACCTATGTAAGTCACAATCTTTGTACTGATGGTTGTCTGCTTAGATCTGCATGGCTTGTGGGTTCCAGGTCAATTCCTAATCTCATTTTGTACCAACACACTATCATTTCATCACTTCCTGGATCTACTTCATTCCTGTAAACAGACAGTTTTCTACCCATATATATATAAACCATTAATTATGTTATTTGTAATCTGTACATATTTTCACAAATTCCTGATGTGTATATTATCATAAAATGCTAAAATCCCAGCTACAGTTTATCTGAATACTTGGTATTAGACATTATTCTTATTTACTGTGGTTCTGATCCTGGGTTGAGTCAATTGTACTCTTCCAAAATAAGTAATTGTGCTCCTATTGCAAGATGTTATTTATTGGAAAATTGTGTTTTAAACCTACATGTCCTAAAGGTAGAGCATAGGAAACGATGAGTACTGCATAGAAAAATACTTAAATTGTGACCAATCACATTGATGGTAGAAGCCACCACACCCTACTTGGAAACGGCTGACTTTGTGCTTTCCAGCCATTATTCTCTGATATTAATGTTGACATTCTGCAGAATCCCCAGGGAGACATCTCCTCAACTTGGTGACCTTTTGCTTGGGTTGCTGCAGAGAAATCAGAAAGACAGGATGGACTTTGGTGAGTCTTTTCTTTACATCAGGAGGCTTCATCCTCCTCTTCCAGAGCCACATGTGACTCCTCACCCTCACTGCCATGGCTCTTCAAAACTGAACAAAAATGATACAGGCATGCAAATGCTTCGCATGTTATTGGAACCATTATGACCATTCTAAGTAATTGAACTAGAAGAACTGGTTCTCGATTCCCATCCCTGCTGATGGGAACAGGGTGCAGCTGGTGAGGTAGATCAACTCAGGGATGGTATTGAGGATTCTTGTATTCTTGGGTGGTGGTGCTCCGCAACTTTTCCTGAATTATGGACTAATTCAGGAAAATTCCTCCAGAAAGCATTACGTCTGATTACAGATGTAATAAATGATTGTAGCACTTATCTCTGTACATTTTTACACATCTATGTAGAATTTCTACAACAAAACAGCACTAATAGTGCAAAGAGATTTTTACGTTTTTGCTTGTGGAGGATGTGAAGCTATAATAGCAACAAGAAACAGAATCTCTTAAAGTGACGGCTATATTTAATTACAAAGAACCCAGTGCACCAACATGCAATGGAACTTTCTTCATTTTCCATTCATTTGGGAATTGGTCTCATTCTAAGAAAATAACATGCTTTATTCCTCTTAAAAAGTTGTTGCTCTAAAATATGAAAAATTTTGAATTATTTTCTTTTAATGGATTATGAGTATTTCATCTAATAACAGCAAGAATGAAAAAATACTGGATTGAAAAGGCTTGCTGAACGCTTCTCTAAGTCAGTGTTTTTCAACCTTTTTTGAGCCAAGGTACATTATTTTAATTGAAAAAATCACGAGGCACACCACTAACCAAAAATGTAAACAAAGATACTCTGTAGCCGCCTATATTAAATTTGTAGTCATTCTTATCAAAGTGTCTTGAATAGGAATCAAATAAACACAAAAAATTATTTTTGCCATATTTTACATTTCTTATTTCAAATTGCACTTAACATGTCCACTTCAAAAATACACCTGAACAGTGCCACAACACTGTCGTGTGTGATGCATGAATGTAGTAACATTCATGCATCACTAATTCTCTTGTTTTAATGTAAAATGCTCTGTACCTACTGCCATCTAGTGGTAATAACATTACATGATTACGCCGCTAGTCACTACTACAGCAGAGACACTCAAAGATGGTATTATTTGCAGAAAATTAATTCGTTTTCAAAATATCTTTTAAGACCAATTACCGTATTTTCCGGACTATGAGCGCACCATACTATAAACCATACCTTCAAATTTTTTGAACCCGCCTCCCCCACGGAAACTTACCAGCCTCACCGGGCTACAGGCCGCTGGTATCTCTGCCGCTCTCTGTTTCCCAAAAGGACCCAGCAGAGGGCAGCAGAGGGCTGCATCCTAATAACTGCTGGATATATTAAGGACGTAGTTCTCCGTCTCCAAATCCGGTTTTGTTCACACCGAGTTTACGTGCAGCGGCTTTATTTCCCTCCTGTACTGCCAGATCGATATTCCTCAACTTAGAAGCTGCATCATATGAGTTTGAAAACATTTCTCTGTCGTGCCTGCTGCTAGCATGCGCTTGTTCTAAATGAAATTTTGACTTCCAAAGATTCACTTCCTGCTAAAGAGCCCCCTGGTGGTTGAAGAAAAATCCACAGAAAAGCCGCATGTTCAAGGTGTAGGAAAGAAGTAGCAGCTTATAGTCCGGAAAATACGGTAGGTGAAATTGGATAATTTCCACGGCACACCTGACGATCACTCACGGTACACTAGTGTGCCATGGTCAGTGGTTGAAAAACACTGCTCTAAATAATGAGTGGTTAATGACAGAAGTTTTGCATATCTTGAGCTTTGCTTTCAAGCTTGTTGAAGTCTCATACTCTGTCCTATATCTGTAATTCCCTTCTCTGCAGACATATTTTTCAACCATCCTTTCTTGGAACCATCATCCACCATCAAAAAATGTAAGTACAAAGATTACAAACTTGGGAAATTTCTCAACCCTACTGCAGTTCAATGCACAGTAAATGCTAATAGTCACTATGTTTCCCTCAGCGTGTCCAGTACCTGTCCCCAGCATTGCCAACGCAGTGACAGAAGGTCCCTGTGGCTCCTCCCCCTCTATCCGCTACAGCTCTCCACCTGTGAGTTTGATGGTTTGAATAAATCCTTGTTCAGAAGGGATCATTGTTAAGTGGTTAACTGACCAGCCTCCATGGGTTGCCGTCTTATTGAGTGGTTTGAGTGTCCCAGTGATACTAAGGGCTATGTTGTCGGGGGCTTTTTTTGCACAGTGGCTCATCTTATATCACTGCATTATGGTGAATGCAGAACAATGCGTCTCTGTGTGTGTTCTGCAGACCTGTGTTTTCTTCATTTAACTGAAGCAACAGGTCAGCCTGGAAGCTGTAACAGCACCTTTGAAGGCACAAAACAGTTTGATCCTCTCTTCCTTCTCTTTATGGCTCCTCCACAGTCTCTTCCAGATATGCAGACTTTGGTTGAGGATGGTTTGTCATCGCCTCCACTTGGTCCCCCCAACTTCCTGCAGCTGTCCAAGGAGTCTGCAGGAAGCACCAGCAGCAAGAACTCCTCCTGCGACACGGACGATTTTGTTCTGGTACCTCACATCTCCACTGACAGCTGTAAGTGTTCCAGCATGTACTCCGTTTAACAAGTCTACATAAAAAATTAAAAAAAACTTTGACCCCTTTGCTTTCAGTAATATAAAGCCAATAGGTTCAAGAGTGCTAATTGTAGTAAGGCTACGAAGTTCTATTCAACAGTTTAAATATTATTGGCAAAGAGAATTTCCTGCAAATAAGTATTGCATTCAAGCAGACATTTGAAAAGGCAGTATTGAACACCTTGATGCAGTATCATTCATTTATTTCATAAAGGATATTTAGTCTCTAAAATCCTTTATGAATTTATGAATTTTCTCTATGAAGTCTCTATTTTACAGTAGATTGACAGAAAAGACGGTTGTGAGAGAGGGAGTAGACATGCAGCAAAGGACAACTGTAGGCTTGTCACGATAACAAATTTTGCTGGGCAATTAATTGTCCCAGAAATTATTGCGCTAAACAATAATATTGTCGTTTTGAGACCATTGTTAACTAATGGCATAAAAAATTGCATAACAATGCAGATAACATCCTCTCAGAGATCAATTAACTAATTTCAAAAGAACATTTCACACTGGAACTGGAAGACATTTTAAAATAAAAAATTGGGATGGGGGGTTGGGAGAGTTTGCATTAGGCACTATTCACATTCAGATCCTCGCTTGATGGCAGGGGAGATGGGGGAGGTGAGCCACCCACAACAACATGCCGCCCTGGGCGGTTGTCCATATCAGAAACGCCATCTCACCTCAGTGATTGTGGACTGTCAATAGGACAGTCCCCAACCATCGGTGCATTTTAGGTGCAGATTTGTTGGTTGTATTGTTTAGTGGCAAATATTTTACAACCTAATAGCTCCACAGGTTCAGTGGTTCACCACGGGCATTCAGTTTAAACCTAAACGCTTCCTGACTGCAGCCGTCACTTTCAGCTTTTAAACCAGCATATCCCTGGCTTGCTTTATGCTGCACTCTGTGGTAGGAGACCAGGAGCCTGGCAAGTAACTGAGGTAATGGTCACACAGTGACAGGAGACAGAGCTGCTCCCTCTCCATTCATTTCTATGGAGCTTGCACAGTGAGGTGATAGTTGCTTGCCCTCATCCAGAAGAGCGAACGGCGTAATTTGTGCATGTGAAATTTCTAGCTCGTACATGCAGACGTGCACATGTGGGCTAGCGATGTGACACAAGGAAGTTTAAAATTGTTAAACTTTTGTCACTGATGTAGCTTTCGTGTCCTATTTGTTGGAACCCAACAGCCCGGGTGGAGAAAAACTGATGCTTTTAGCTCCCTGTGTGTTGAGCCATTACCAAGGAATCGAGAGGGGAGGAAGTAATGCGAGGCACCGGAGTAAAGCTTTTTGTCATCCAGTCTCTTTGGTAAAAAGAGAGAGACAGGACGAAAACAAACAAGCAATATTATTGCCCTCATTTTATTATTGCCTTTTATTTATTATCAAGCTCATTTTAATTTATCATGCGATTGATTTATTGTTTATTGCGACATCCATACAGAAAACGGCCAACTCTGAAGCGTCTTCACTCAATAACAACTTCCACAATGAAGACGGTTTATACTTCAAACTGTTTGTGTTTAAGACTTTTATAGTTTTGAAGTTCCAACGGTTTCTGTCATCGGTCAGGGTGAAAACCAGCAAATTCTTGTCACCAGATGATTTCTAGGTGCAGACTTACTGATTCCTTAACTAATTCTAATGTATCTATGTTGCAAATCTGATGATTGAACCTGAAATCATGCATACAGTTTATTTTTGCTGGTATGTGGTAAACCCTGACCTTGATGCATTTAACTCTTTAAATGTCATGTAAGCCCAAATATGCTCAGGTGCTGATGTTCTTCAAAACTATAAACACTTTTCCTTCTGTCTTAGTCCACAGAACAGTGGTGTTTCTGCAGGTAGTTCAACACAAAACTTTAGGTTACTTTCGTAACCCCAGTTCTCTGAGTAGCATGAGTGAGTGTCTCACAATGGGAACGCCCCTGGCGTGACCTCATCAGAAGCTCCTATTACATTACGCCAGCCAGGATTGGCTGGAGATAAGCCTGTCAGCGTCAGAGAGGGCAGGCACCCTCCCCCTATAAATAGGGCTGACGCTGAGCAGACATCTTATTTAAAAATATTCACCTCTTCCTCGCAACATCAGAGCAAGGAGGGTGACTTGGTGAGATACTCACTCATGCTACTCAGAGAACCGGGGTTACGAAAGTAACCTAAAGTTCTCTTTCATAGCATTCGTTTTGTGTCTCACAATGGGAACGAGAATATACTGACTCCCGAATTGCTCAGCAGAAACCACACCTTGTGTGTGGTTCACTTAATCATTATTATTTACCAGGCACAGGTAGTTTTAGTGATTGGTGCTTACACTGAGAACTGAATGAGCCAGTGATGATGCTGTGCCATCAAGCTTGTAAAACCGAGCAAATGTGTGAGAGGAGGCCCAACTTGCTGCGGCACAAATTTCTTGCAAAGGTACTCCTCTCAGCATGGCCCATGAAGAGCTTAAGCCCCTAGTAGAATGGGCACGCAGCCCCTCAGGAGGTGTTAAAGCCCTTGAGCTATAGGCTAAGGAAATTGCTGCGGTGATCCAATGGGCAAGCCGTTGCTTGGACACCGGTTTTCCATAATGGTTTTTGGCCCAAGAGACAAACAACTGATCACTTTTCCTGACCTGTTTTGTTTTCTCTAAATAGATATCCAAAGCACATACAGGGCAAAGGTTGTGCAGTTTCTCCTGTTCCAGTGAAGAAAAGGGAGGGGGATAAAAAGTCACCAACTCAATTGGAGAGTATGACCCCAAAACCTTAGGCTCAAAAGCAGGGTTGGGGAGCAAAGTCACCTTAGTTTTGTCTGGAGAAAACCTCATACAAGATGGGTTAACAGACAAAGCATGGATTTCACCCACACGCTTTGTAGAGACCAATGCCAACAGAAGTGCTGTTTTCAAGGTTACAATTTTCAATTCAACCCGATCTAGAGGCTCAAAGGGTGAGGCAGAGAGAGCATCCAGCACCAGGGGTAAATCCCACGATGGAGCCATGGGTCTCGAAACAGGGAGCTTCCTGCGAGCCCCCCGCATGAACCGGCACACTAAGGGATGCTGCCCTGCAGTCTTCCCCTCAAAACCCACATGGCAAGCTGAAATAGCAGCCAAGTACACCTTGACAGTAGAAAAAGCTTTACCCTTATCAATCAGGTCTTGCAGAAAAGCTAAAAGCACGGCCACAGAACACTGAAAGGGGATTTCCTGAATTTCAGAGCACCATTTCTCAAAAACAGACCATTTGTACTCATACAAAGATCTTGTTGCTGGAGCTCTAGCATTCTGGATTGTCTCAATAACACTCTGTGGGAGACCTACAGATTGTAGATTGAACCACTCACGGGCCAAGCCCACAAAGCCAGCCTTTCTGGGTGGGGATGAAAAATTTGTCCTCGGGCCTGAGACAGCAGATCCCTGCGTGCAGGCAGAGGCCACGGATCCTTCCACAGGAGCTGCGTTATCTCTGCTAACCAGTGTTTCGACGGCCAGTGGGGTGCAATGAGGATCATTGTCAGCCCTTCTGTTCGTACCCTGGCCAGCGTTGGTGAAATTAGAGCTATGGGGGGAAAGGCATAGAGCAGAACCCGAGGCCACCTGTGGGCCAGTGCGTCCACCCCCAGAGGTGCGTTCCGATCGTGCAGGGAGAAATACAGATGACACTGTTTGTTCTCCTGCGAGGCAAAAAGGTCCACGGATGGTTGCCCGTACCTCTGCCATACCAACCTGGCCACTTCCGGATGGAGTTTCCACTCTGCATACAGGGGATTCCCTCTGGAGAGGAGGTCCGCTCCACAGTTCAGTACTCCTGGGACATGAGTTGCCCTCAGTGACAGAAAATGTTTGCTGCTCCAAATGATCAGTTTGTGAGCCAACATGTGCAGTTTTAGTGATCTCAGACCACCCTGCCTGTTGATGTAAGCCACCACGGTGGTGTTGTCTGTTCTGACCAGCACATGGTGACCTCTTAGAAGTGGAAGGAAATGTTTCAGTGTCAAGTGAACAGCCAGCAGTTCCAAGAAATTGATGTGGGCTGACCTCATATTTGGGCCCCAAAACCCATTCACCATATTTTGTCCGTATAAACCTCCCCAGCCTGTCAGGGAGGCATCTGTCGTGACAACTTTCCTGTTCTGCACTACTCCCATTGGAACACCCTGTGTCAGCACACTGGGGTTCCACCAAGGGTGTAGTGCTGCCCTGCAGGCTGCGGAAACCCTCATTCTGTGAGAAACATGTGGATTCAGCTTCTGCTGAGAGGCCACCCAGCGCTGGACTCCGTTCATATGGAGTCGGCCAAGGGGAACCACTGCTAATGCTGAGGCCATCAGGCCCAAGAGCCTTCTGCAGAGTCTGATGGACACCAGATTTCCTCTGTGAAACATGGACAAGCAGTCCAGCATCGTTTTCACTCTGTCCTCCGTTAGTCTCACTCTGGCCTGAACTGAGTCCAGGGAGAGACCTATGAAGGAAATGGATTGAATCCATTGTTTATTTTGAATCCCAGATCCATCACGTGTTGCGTTAAGGTAGCTGTGTGATCTGCAGCCTCCTGGCGGGAAGACGAAGCGCCTCCTGAGCGGGCCCACAGCCGCCTCGGTGCATTTTACAAACACTCTCGGGCTCAGTGAGAGACCGAAAGGGAGTACGAGGTATTCGTAACACGCTCCCTGAAATGCAAATCTGAGGAATTTTCTGTGCGGCGGATAAATGGGGATGTGAAAATAAGCATCCTTGAGGTCGATTGAAGTAAACCAATCGCTGGGACGTAGGAAGCGCAGCAGGGAGTCGTGTGTCAGCATCCTGAATTTGTATTTTCTCAGGTGCTTGTTTAGCGCCCGGAGGTCTAATATAGCACGCATCCCCCTTCTGCCTTTCTTTGGCACGAGGAAATAACGTGAATAAAACCCCTCGTGGCAGTGCTTGTGAGGTATTAGCCTTATTGCTCTTTTCGCTAACAACGAGGATATTTCCTCTTGTAGGACAAGAGCGGCTTCTCCCTCTGCTTGCGACTGAATCACCCCCCTGAAACGTGGAGGGGTCATTGCGAATTGCAGTCTGTATCCTCTCCTTACAGTTTTTAAAACCCATTCTGAGTTCGTGCATTTTTCCCACAGATGGGTGTTTATTGACAGGCGGCTGACTGGCCAGTCTGTTAAAAATAAGCTGGGAGCGCCCCCTTCTGGCGCCGAATGGCAAACAGCTCCAGTCTGCACTGCACATGCGCGCGGAGTTCGGCTTGCTGCAGATTTGTTGACATGGGGAAAAAATCTCAGTCCTCCTGGAAGAGGATGTTCATGTTTTTCAACATTTTTATCAGCGCCCTCGGCTCATAGCCTGGATGCGACAGTGTGTGAACATTTATTTCTTTCGAACAGATAAATGTGCTTGTGGGACGTGACCGGGGCTCGCCGTGGAACTCCCCATAATGAACACAGTCTCGTCTTTTCTTTCTGGCGTGCCGAGCAGGCTCGAACATCCTCTCCGTCACGCGCTGAACCCGGCTGAACTCGCCGAACAGGCTCGGAACCGGAGCTATGGAAGGGAGCGATTCCCGCTCGCTCCCAACATCTGGGGAGGAGGTCAGGCCAGCCGCTTCCTTCTCCTCACGTTCTGAGTGGAAGGGGGGTGGGGGGGCGGTTGGTCGGAGCGAGGGCCGTCAGGCTTCCTCTGCCACGGGGCTTTTGGGACAGAGGCTTTCTGTGGAGCCTGAGCAGCACCCTGCGTCTTTGGAAACTTGGGGATCTTGAAGGCATTAGGGAATCGAGCTGCAGCCTGAGCAAAGGTCTGGCGCTGGGTGCTCGGGGTCGTGGTCCCGGTGGCAAACGTACGCCTGGGCAGACACAATTTCAGTGCTTCATCATCCCGTTTCTTTTCCTCCCATCGTTTTTGCATGGAGGTGACTGCTGCACCGAACAGCCCCTCAGGAGTGATGGCGGTGTCCAGGAGGTCCTCCTTCTCCTTAGTGGAGAGTGTGGTGAGATTGAGCCACCTGGCCCTCTCCTGCAGAACCATGAGACCCATGGTCCTGCCCAGGGCTTGGATCGCCACCTTGTGGAGTTGTAGGCAGTGATCCGTGATGATGCACACCTCCTCCCATAGTGCAGCATCTGGCAAAGTGGTCATCTGCTCCTCGAGTTCTGCCTGGTAAGCCATCATCAGCGATGAGGCATTTAGGGCCCGAACTGAGAGCGCCGCTGCCCGATAAGATTTATCCGTCAGGCTGGACTGAAAGCGGTCGGCTCTTGAAGGGAGAGTGGGACCTCCAGCTGACATGGAAGTCTTTGGGTGGAGGTGTGCCGCCACCGCCGGTTCGACCGGGGGTAACTGACGGAGACCGCACTTCTCCATACCATCACAGTCCAGCACCGAACTGCCAGCCACTGGGTGCTTTTCCTTAAAGGGTTTATTGCGCCAGGAGACGGCTAGTTCTTCCAGCAGCTCCGGAAAAACTGGCAGGAGTTGTCTGCCTGTTTTCCGTGCTTTTGGCAGCTTTTTTCCATCGAAGCGGGAGCGAACTACCTCGGCTTGAACCTCGGGCCACTGGATGTCAAGCTTTGCAGCGGCGCGTTTGCACACATCGTGCAGATCAAAATCCAGTTCCGGCGAGGATGAGCCTTCATGACCGGGTTGGCCTGCGCCAGACGGTGCGGGTTTTGCAACCCGACCCGACAGCGGAGGAGATGGGTCATAATCCTCATCATTATCCGAGAAAGGAAGCTCCGGCTCACTATCGGAAAACTCGCAGTCTCCGGTTACCGGGAAATCCAGCGAACAGGGCTCGAAGCCGAGTTCGGGGACCTCAGATGGCAGCGGGTCCACGGAGTCGAGGATTTCGCCCCAACTCGTCCCGGCTCCCGCATCAGCGGTCAGCGAAGTTATTTGCCCGGCCGGTTCCTGCACAGCTGCTGCAGATGTCATAAGCGGGTCGCCGCTGGACAATGTCGTCTGACGGGCCAGACGGCGACGAAGCACTTTGACGGAGAACCTGCTACAGTGCGAGCAGGACTCCACAGAGTCAAAGGCTGCTTGGGCATGTTTTAGCCCGAGACACATCACGCACGACGGGTGTGTGTCCCCGCTTGAAATTTTGTTGCCGCACGGGCAGGTTCGTGCCTGTGGGCTCTTCTCCACGGTACTAGATGACCTGACGGTCTCCATGTTTCGGGGAGATGAGATGGCCGTAATGCTACTAAAGGAAAAAGAGAGCTGGCGACAGCTAAGCTAACCAGTTATGGTTAGACTATGGAGGGGGAAGCGTTGCGGCTTCCCAGTAGCTTACGGTGGGAGTATTGCTACTCTGAAAACTGCCAACAAACAACCTTACGGTGAGTCGGCTTTTTTTTTGTTTTTTTTTTTGGTATTTCTACCAGAGAGAAGCTACTCGCTGTGATACCGAACAAATATCCCAAAACCAAGCGCCCGGCGACCGAGCTTGCGCACGCGTCTGTGGACAGTTTAGCTTGGCTCAGAATAGAGTCAGTAGTTACGAGAGCTGGTTGGAACTTCTGCTCGTTGCGAGAGAAGAGGTTTTTGAATAAGATGTCTGCTCAGCGTCAGCCCTATTTATAGGGGGAGGGTGCCTGCCCTCTCTGACGCTGACAGGCTTATCTCCAGCCAATCCTGGCTGGCGTAATGTAATAGGAGCTTCTGATGAGGTCACGCCAGGGGCGTTCCCATTGTGAGACACGAAACGAATGCTATGAAAGAGAACTNTAAAAATTTCCGAACTTCTTTAAAAAATTTTTTAAAAAAAAATTAAAAAAAAAAAAAAAAAAAAAAGCAAATGAATAGTCTATGACAGCCATGGCCATCTGGGTAAGCTTGAACATAAAAACATTATAAATAGATATTTCAAGACCAGACTAGCTTGGGCATCTCCTCAGGAGGATTTTAAACTGTGGGAACATGGTGTAAAACTTCAGCAGGTGTAAAACTTCAGTATACCATGGCGAACCAGCCCTGCCTATTCAGGACAGACAAGATTTTCTTCATGAAGCATAACAAGTAAAATGTGACGACGTTAATAAAGAGTCCCACGTGGAACGTCACACTTCGTTTCCAGCTGAAAAAGGCTCTGAAACACAGCCGACAGTTTGAGAGGTAGCTCATGCAAAAAAAAAAAACACAAACGTGACTCTGGATATTTTGAAGTGATGAGAAGCTTTTACAGCTCAGAACATAAAACCAGGGCTTTCTTGGCACAATCAGGTCGTCCCTTGCAGATTTACAGTTCTCCGTGTGGAATGAAGTCAGACAACTTCTGCGGTTGTGAAGGAAAACCAAATGACGGTTTTCTTGTTGTGACTACAGACTTAAAACATAAAACACAATGCTTAAATGAAGTTTTTTTTTAAAATGTTGGAACAGGATCACCCTCTCAAAAATCAATATAGACAAACACAGGTGTCCAAGAACACAGTTGTAAAACCACTTAAAAAAAATAAAAGGGTAAAAGCCTCAGCCTGAGGAACAGCCTTGCAGTCACAGCTGTTGAAAGCAGTCGCTGAGCTCCAGGATCCTCAGGGAATGCACTTGTATGTGGAAGAAACTTAGGATCAAAGTGGAGCCAATTTCCTGCTTGTGAAGAACTGCAATCCCAGATTATCACAATGCAAGGGTAGCACGAAAAACAGCCATTTTCTCCAACTTAAAATCCGTATCATCATCAAACCGGCGCTTCAGCGGGGTCTTTAGCAGCCACAGGCACAGGACCCGCTTCCTGCGCTGAATCATCTCCAGCCCCGGACTCCTTCATCCCAGACGCCCGCTCTTTTAGTCTTTCGGCAGAATCCCAGGGATTTGGAAGTTCAGCTCTGTAAGCCTTTGGGGTGGGCGGCTGGTAGCGGTATCTGTAGCCAAAGGCACGTAGGTGATAGGCGTAGTACTCCAACAAGTACATGCCTGTGGCATCTACATAATGAAAAGACACCGACACATCTGAGCAGCAGTTTGGACCCTACAACAAAAACAGAGAAAGTATGTAAGTTATCCACCATGTTAGAGTCACAACCCCTCAAACTTCCCATGTTTTTGTCACGTGTGATAGACCAACACAAGCTGTACATGACTGGAAAGTAGGGCTGCACCGATTGCAGTTTTCTGGCGATCGCCAATTACTGATCTTTTAAGAAGCCTTACCGATTCCGATTTTGGCCGATACCAGTTTTTTGTCTGAAATGTTGCTTAATATATCAAGAAAGTTGCTGAATTGGCAACAATGGCGTGAATAGTGTTAACTGTAAATGAGCAGACATGACCTGGTCGGCTGGTTTGTCAGTCAAACCTCTCTGACAGGAAAAAAGAAAAAGCACAGTGGTTGATTTTTAGACCTTTGTCGAGGATGATAACATCGGTGGATAAGAACGGCTTCACAAATAAAAACCAAACGATCACCGATCTCCCAAAATTAAGGATTAACTAAAGTAGACCAGACAAGTGTTAGCTGAACTCTCATCAAATTAAACTAAAGAGAGACAAACAGGAAGCCATTAGAAGTTTCACAGGTCATGTAAAGGACGTAGAGGACACAGCAAAGACGTGGATCAACGATGATTTTTAGGTTTACATGCCACAGCTTATTATGATTCAATTGGACGACAGGAAGCTTTGCTTCAACAAAGACAAAGATGCTGATAAGTTGATGTGAAGCTTGATAGAGCTAAATACACAGCAAAACTAGTCAAACACGTTCAAACTGAAAACCACCGACAACTGGGAGAGGCGCTCACCTTCCAGCAGCACAACGAAAAACAAAGTGGCAGATTTATGGAGAGAAAATAGTCTCAGAATACCTGATTTTCTCTCCATACAGAGGGACTAGGGAATCGTTTAGTTGTATATTTATTATGATGCTTGAGCTGCTTTTTAAAAGGTGATCGGTATCGGCAACAAGAGCCAATGATCGCCGATCACCGATCATGCACTTTTTCACGGAAATCGGCCCGATTATGATCGGTGACCGATTGATCGGCACACCTCTAGTATGGAGCAATTATTCATCAAAAACTTAAAGTCTCCTTTTAATTATGAACTGAAAGGTGTCCTTCTTTAAATTGAGGCTGTGTGAAATCATTTTCCACAGCCTGTATTCTCCCTATGCCTAAGCACGCCTCAGACTGGAGAAGCAGACACATTGCCATGGCAATTTCTGATAGGAAAGCAGTTCAAAAGTTGCCACAGCAAAAAGACAAATGAATAAAGTGCACATAAGCTGAAAAACATCCAGCGCTTTTGCTTTGTGGTTGTGATATGTGGTTCTTCAAGACAAGATCGTGAAAACTTTAGGTTACTTTCGTAACCCCGGTTCTCTGAGTAGCATGAGTAAATGTCTCACAATGGGCAACGGCCCTGGTGTAACCTCATCAGAAGCTCCTATTACATTATGCCAGCCAGGATTGGCTGGAGATAAGCCTGTAAGCGTCAGAGAGGCCGGGGACCCTCTCCCTATAAATAGGGCTGACGCTGAGCAGGCATCTTATACAACAAAAAAAAAAAAAAAACATTCACCTCTTCCTTGCAACGTCAGAGCAAGGAGGGTGACTTGGTGAGACACTCAATCATGCTACTTAGAGAACCGGGGTTACGAAAGTAACCTAAAGTTCTCTTTCATAGCATTCGTTTCATGTCTCACATTGGGAACGAGAATATACTGACTCCTGTATTGCTCAGCAGAAAACCACACCTTGTGTGCCAGCTGTTCACTTAATCATTATAATTTAACGGCCGCAGGTAGTCTTACTGATTGGTGCTTACACTGAGAACTGAATGTGCCAGCGATGATGCTGTGACATCAATCTTGTAAAACCGATCAAACGTGTGAGAGGAAGCCCAACTTGCTGCGGCACAAATTTCTTGCAGAGATACTCCTCTCAGCAAGGCTTAAACCCCTAGTAGAATGGGCACACAGCCCCTCAGGAGGCGTTAAAGCCCTTGAGGTATAGGCTAAGGAAATTGCTGTGGCGATCCAATGGGCAATCCATTGCTTGGACACCGGTTTTCCATAATGGTTTTTGGCTCAAGAGACATACAACTGGTCACTTTCCTGACCTGTTTTGTTTTCTCTAAATAGATATCCAAAGCACGTACAGGGCAAAGGTTGTGCAGTTTCTCCTGCTCCAGTGAAGAAAAGGGAGGGGGATAAAAAGTCACCAACTCAATTGGAGAGTATGACCCCAAAACCTTAGGCTCAAAAGCAGGGTTGGGGAGCAAAGTCACCTTAGTTTTATCTGGAGAAAACCTCATACAAGATGGGTTAACAGACAAAGCATGGATTTCACCCACACGCTTTGTAGAGACCGATGCCAACAGAAGTGCTGTTTTCAAGGTTACAATTTTTAATTCAACCTGATCTAGAGGCTCGAAGGGTGAGGCAGAGAGAGCATCCAGCACCAGGGGTAAATCCCACGATGGACTCGGTCTCGAGACAGGGCGCTTCCTGCAAGCCCCCCCGCATGAACCGGCACACTAAGGGATGCTGGCCTGCAGTCTTCCCCTCAAAACCCACATAGCAAGCTGAAATAGCAGCCAAATACACCTTGACAGTAGAAAAAGCTTTTCCCTTATCAATCAGGTCCTGTAGAAAAGTTAAAGCACAGCCACAGAACATTGATAGGGTATTTCCTGAATTTTAGAGCACCATTTTTCAAAAACAAACTTTTTGTACTCATACAAAGATTTTGTTGCTGAAGCTCTAGCATTCTGGATTGTCTCAATAACACTCTGTGGGAGATCAACAAATTGTAGATTGAACCACTCACGGGCCAAGCCCACAAAGCCAGCCTTTCTGGGTGGGGATGAAAAATTTGTCCTCGTGCCTGAGACAGCAGATCCCTGCGTGCAGGCAGAGGCCACGGATCCTTCCACAGGAGCTGCGTTATTTCTGCTAACCAGTGTTTCGATGGCCAGTGGGGTGCAATGAGGATCATTGTCAGCCCTTCTGTTCGTACCTTGGCTAGCGTTGGTGAAATTAGAGCTATGGGGGGAAAGGCATAGAGTAGAACCCAAGGCCACCTGTGAGTCAGTCCGTCCACCCCCAGATCGTGCAGGGAGAAATACAGATGACACTGTTTGTTCTCCTGCGAGGCAAAAAGGTCCACGGATGGTTGCCCGTACCTCTGCCAGACCAGCCTGGCCACTTCCGGATGGAGTTTCCACTCTGCATACAGGGGATTCCCTCTGGAGAGGAGGTCCGCTCCACAGTTCAGTACTCCCGGGACATGAGTTGCCCTCAGTGACAGAAAATGTTTGCTGCTCCAAATGATCAGTTTGTGAGCCAACATGTGCAGTTTTAGTGATCTCAGACCACCCTGCCTGTTGATGTAAGCCACCACGGTGGTGTTGTCTGTTCTGACCAGCACATGGTGACCTCTTAGAAGTGGAAGGAAATGTTTCAGTGTCAAGTGAACAGCCAGCAGCTCCAAGAAATTGATGTGGGCTGACCTCATATTTGGGCCCCAAGACCCATTCACCATATTTTGTCCGTATAAACCTCCCCAGCCTGTCAGGGAGGCATCTGTCGTGACAACTTTCCTGTTCTGCACTACTCCCATTGGAACGCCCTGTGTCAGCATACTGGGGTTCCACCAAGGGTGTAGTGCTGCCCTGCAGGCTGCGGAAACCCTCACTCTGTGAGAAACATGTGGATTCAGCTTCTGCTGAGAGGCAACCCAGCGCTGGACTCCTTTCATATGGAGTCGCCCAAGGGGAACTACTGCTAATGATGAGGCCATCAGGCCCAAGAGCCTTCTGCAGAGTCTGATGGACACCAGATTTCCTCTGTGAAACATGGACAAGCAGTCCAGCATTGTTTTCACTCTGTCCTCTGTCCAGTCTCACGCTGGCCTGAACTGAGTCCAGGGAGAGACCTATGATGGAAATGGATTGATGGGGGAGTAGTACACTCTTCTCCATGTTTATTTTGAATCCCAGATCCATCACGTGTTGCGTTAATGTAGCTGTGTGATCTGCAGCCTCCTGGCGGGAAGACAAAGCGATCAGCCAATCGTCTATGTATATCGCCACCTGGATTCCCCGCCTCCTGAGCGGGCCCACAGCCGCCTCGGTGCATTTTACAAACACTCTCGGGCTCAGTGAGAGACCGAAAGGGAGTACGAGGCATTCGTAACACACTCCCTGAAATGCAAATCTGAGGAATTTTCTGTGCGGTGGATAAATGGGGATGTGAAAATAAGCATCCTTGAGGTCGATTGAAGTAAACCAATCGCTGGGATGTAGGAAGCGCAGCAGGGAGTCGTGTGTCAGCATCCTGAATTTGTATTTTCTTAGGTGCTTGTTTAGCACCCGGAGGTCTAACATAGCAGGCATCCTCCTTCTGTCTTTCTTTGGCACGAGGAAATAACGTGAATAAAACTCCTCGCGGCAGTGCTTGTGAGGAATTAGGCCTTATTGCTCTTTTCACTAACAACGAGGATATTTCCTCTTGTAAGACAAGAGCGGCTTCTCCCTCTGCTTGCGACTGAATCACCCCCCTGAAACATTGCGAATTGCAGTCTGTATCCCCTCCTTACAGTTTTTAAAACCCACTCTGAGTCCGTGCATTTTTCCCACAGATGGGTGTTGCCGCATGGGCAGGTTCGTGCCTGTGGGCTCTTCTCCACGTTATTAGATGACCTGACGGTCTCCATGTTTCGGGGAGATGAGATGGCCGTAAAGCTACTAAAAAGAAAAAGAGCTGGCAACAGCTAAGCTAACCAGTTATGGTTAGACTATGGAGGGGGAAGCGTTGCGGCTTCCCGGTAGGTAGCTTACGGTGGGAGTATTGCTACTCTGAAAACTGCCAACGAATAACCTTATGGTGAGTCAGCTTTTTTGGGGGGGTGGTATTTCTACCAGAGAGAAACTACTCGCTGTGATACCGAACAGAAATCCCAAGCCAAGCGCCGGGTGACCGAGCTTGCGCACGCGTCTGTGGACAGTTTAGCTTGGCTCAGAATAATGTCAGTAGTTACACGAGAGCTGGTTGGAACTTCTGCTCGTCGCGAGAGAAGAGGTTTTTGAATAAGATGTCTGCTCAGGGTCAGCCCTATTTACAGAGAGAGGGTCCCTGCCCTCTCTGACGCTTACAGGCTTATCTTCAGCCAATCCTGGCTGGCGTAATGTAATAGGAGCTTCTGATGAGGTTACACCAGGGGCGTTCCCCAATGTGAGACACAAAACGAATGCTATGAAAGAGAACCACAATCTAACCTGCCATGTCTGACTACCTCACTTTATCCCTTTATCCCATAAGCATGCTTTATAACACCTTAGATCAATGCTGGGATTTAACAGCACTTGCCTCTGAGATGGGGTAGTAGCAGTAGCTCCAGTACCAGAAGCTCTTGGGGAACTTGGCAGTGAGGTGCTGCTCGGGGACGAAGGGGTGGAACGTCTCCCTCTGCGCAGTGTCTCGGGAGTCTCCTGCCAGCACCCCGACCTTCTCCATACACTGCCCCATCGCCAGGTCCTCTACAGACGAAGTGTGAGTGCACACTTTGTTTTTAAAGCCTTCTACGAATCTCTTCAGGGCTTCTCTGCTCAGTACGTATCCCGCACCGCCGCTCATGTACCCCTGCTTGGTGTAGGGCTTGAATCTTCGGCCGAAGTAAATCGGCTCGTCCGGCGTGTGGTTGGCAAGGATCCATCGCAGATTGTCCACTATCACGTAGGTGTCGTCATCCGCCTTGAGGAACCAGTCTGCCTCGTTGGCGTGATGCTCGTAGGCGTAATGGAAGGCCCTGATCGTTTTCCAGTACAGCTGATCGCGCCCCTCCTTAGTGCCAAGTCCCACCGTGGGGAAGTCGGGGTCATCCACAGAGCTCATGAAAACGACTATGTTGCAATGGCGGCTCCAGGTGTACTTGACATGCCGAGCCTTCGTCTCCAAGTTTTTGGGACCAGTCATCACCCAGCAAAGGATTCGCACCTTGTTGTACAATTCGTCAGCCATGTGGCTATCCTCACCTGGCAAGGAGACAAAAACACATTAATGTTCTTTTATGTGTAATGTCTATTTCCACTTGTGAACAAATAAACAGAGTTCTGGATTTCATCAAGACATACACAGGAGACCAACTATGCCCAACCCTAGTTGACACCTGTGTCCAGGGCGTCAACTAGGGTTGACGCCCTGGACACAGAGACTGGCATGTGAAATTACTCCCAACTCATTGTTGCAATTGGACATAACGTCTGCTGAGGAGCTTAGTATGTGTAGATTTATTTTTACAGAATAATAAAAGCTAGTAACCAGCACTGTTATACACAGTAAACACTGTCCATTGACAATGGAAGTATTTTACTTTGTTCTAAGATAGATATAGATTAACTTCTGTATTAGTTTGACATGTTTTATATTGGAAAAAAATTGTTTGAGTCTTTATAAATAACTTTATGCTTTTTGTCTGTCACCATTTTAAATTGTTTTATTTTACTTAATTTTTCTTTAAAATCAATGTATTTTTAATATGAAAATGGTCAAATCTGACATTTTCCTTGAATTTTTCATTGTTAATGTTTTATTCCAAATTAGCATTACACTGACAGTCTTTACCATGTAAATTTTTCTAATGAAAGTTTTACTAATAATGCCTCTTATGTACATACATGTACAGCAGAAATAAAGTGATTTTTTATTATTACTTTTGCCTTGGTAGTCTTTAGTGTCATTAATACTGGTGTCTGTTGTCTGCAAACGTTCAGTGAACATTTCTGATGAAGTACTGGGGAGGTTTTCTGAATGTTCAATATCAGCTGAGAAGCCACTGCACAGAAGAGGATGATGGTGTGGCTGACTTTTTGCCAAAGTCAATTAAAATGATACTTTTCAATGAAAATAATGCTTGCAGTGTTACCAAAATCAAGTTATACTAGTTATACTTCTGTCCCTCAATCCACAGCTCACAGACGACTCGGTGACAAAAGCTCACAAGATCACAGCCTTGTTGTAAAATCGGACAAAAGCTTAAAACCCGTTTGTTAAGGTAAAGCCAAAAGCTGGCTCAACAGAGCTTTAGTCTGACCATTTTCTCAGGCGATGCCTACATGTTGGGGGTGGGGTTATTGTACAATAATGTAAATGAACAGCCTTGTTAAGCAGCGCCACATTGCTAAACTGGTTTGTGGAGAAACTTTGAAAGCCACTGTCTCAAAAAAAAAAAAAAAAATACTTTGGGATACGCCAACATTCAAATTGTCAAATCTTGGTAATTTCTTTTTTGATTTCCTTTGAGGCCTCAGTGGGGTTCAACTGAAAGCCGGCAGGCCTTGTTGTCACTTCAAGCAACAGATAAACCGTAGCATTTGCTTCACTCCTACAAAAACCCCAAATTTGTAGCTACAGTAATATAAATCCTATAAAAGTAATACAAACACTATAAAAATCTATAGTCTATAAAGGAAACCATAAATCTCTACCAATTAGGAATGTTTCTAATCATACCGGACTTAGCAAAAATTCAAGGCACATTACTTGCAAACCGGTCCTTCAGTCTAAAGCACAACTCTAAGGTTTAGCAACAGAGTGGCATCTCAATCACACACACTGCCTCAACTTCACAAAGAGCAAAGTTATTTTTAGTGTCACATTTCAGACTTATAAAGCCCCTTTTTATACATTCAGCACGTTCTCTAAACCTGACACCCACTGAGAGTTTCAGTAGTCACATGTGAATTAACATCCTGGTATTTTGCTGTAAAAGTTTGTGATGAAATTTTAGCCAAATTGAGATAAACATGGGTTAATTAACATAAAAAAATATAGTATGTGTTTTAAAAGTAAAAAAAAAAACAACACTAAAATCTTCTATCATACAGTTTCATCCTCTTTATAAAAGCTTGTTAGACTTGTTCCTCTAGTCTACATAAAGCAGAGTGGTAGAAAAGGGTAATTTCTCCTACAATAAGCGCCTAAAAACTAACATCAAATTAACTAAATATAATAATTTGCATCATCAATTTTTGATCATATTTTAAAAGCAGGAATAATTTTAGGTCTTTCACTGTCACTTAAAGCAATCAGATTGTGTTATCTATTTTAATTTTATTTGTGTGTAACTTTTTTTTTTATCCAAGGTTATACTGCAAGAACCTACAGACATATTTAGAAAATGATCTTAGGAATAAAACAAGCTTGTGTATGCATTTAGCTTTATCCAGTGAAAGCACATTCCAGTCACACATAAATGCTCCCTGTGTTTTACATTCTTCTGACTCAGGATAAGCAGGAAGTAGATTAAAACAAAACTTGCCAATGTTTAATGAAGCCAGTACCTTAAAGGGTTTTGTAAAGCTTTTACAATATATTAAAAGGTGATCTTTACATAAATACCCAAGAAACTGCTAACTGATAAAATTACTTAAACATCTGAGTTGCTTAGGTGGGTAACATTAGGTATAAAAATAAACTTTCTTTTTGTTTAGTCAATTATTAACGTGTGTTCAAGTTAACCCCTCTCATTAAGGCTCAACTGATCTGAAGTCTTACTTATGTAAAATAAAGGTTGCTTCTGGAAAACGAACATACCTGTATGATGAGGGTGATCCAAGTTAAACAGAGCGGACCTCTCCTTCTTCCATATCCCCTGGTCTTCGTCCAACTGTTGCTGCTGGACACCAAGTTTCGCATAGCCTTCGGCCTGCTCAGACCTCTCAAACCAAACCTGCCGCAGGAACACGTATAATGTGAAGGTCCCCACCACAAAACCCGCATAAAAGGAGAATCTGGAGCCGAGGGCCTTCATGCTGGACCAGGTGTCCTGCAGTTGATCACTGTGGCAGCAACTCAACCTGAAGGAGGAGGGAACTGGAGTGAACATAACGCTCTATGTTGGAGAGTTTTGATGCATCTGTGGCTGTACATATGTCACTCCCTGCGTTTGAGGTGTGGTTAACTCACCAGCAACAACGGCGGAATACAAAACATAGCAGCTGAAATATCCAACGGGCTATTTCCTCTCAGCGATCATAGCGCCTCGGCTCGGGGAAGCGAAAGCTGGGAAGAGACGCGACGTTTCCACTACGAACAATTACAGCTAGCCATAATAAAAACCAAGCTAAGTTCTCACCCAGCGCCACAGAGAAAGGAGCGACCAAATCCCAGAACCGTTGACTGAGTAAACTCCCAAGTGAGAGAAAACAAACAACGACACTCGTGTCCGGTTAAACATTGACTCCAGGTCTGTGTTGGAACCGTTGGCGAAAGCTAACTGGCTAGTCCGTTATTCAACCGTCAGTGCTAGCGTCAACTTCGCTGTTAAGTTATTTAGCAGTCGTGTCGCGACTGCGCAGCTAACGGAAACCACACTGACGAAGGAGGGAGGCTGATGTTTCACTTTCACTAAAATAAAATCCCTAAGAAAACCTGGAAACAAGAAGCCTAAACGAGTTCCACGTCGATGGAGGATTAATATCTAACTTGTTTGACTGACTGCTGTCTTCCGTCCAGTAAAAACCGCTACTTCCGGTCATATTAGTCAGAGGGCAGGGTCGAACTTTAACCCTTGTATACGTGACTTGTTGAAAATAAATGGTTAAAAAGTTGTATTTTCCCCCCTGGCTTGATACTTTTATCTAATATAAATGGGTTCAAAAGAAGTCTTCAAATTACCTGAACGAATAAAATATAAAACTTTTTTGCGTTGCTATTTTATGTTAAATATGTTAGACATAAAGTACCGCGGATGGATTAAGGACATCCGGGTACTTCGCCCTTGCGAAACTTTCACGCCCTCTTTTGGAGGAAAGTTTAGAGTCGTCATAAATCTGAATGCTTTTCAGAGACTTGTCACAGTAAAAATGTGTTTTGGAAAATAACGCTATGAAACTTCTTTAAACCAAAATTTATGTATTAAAATGTTTTTTTTTTTTTAACTGGTCGGATTAGTGTTTTCATTAAATGGGAAGTCATATAAATAAAGGCTTGCAAAAACCTAGTGATGGAGTTACTGAAATAAATTAGTAATATTCTAATTTATTGACTAGGGTTTGAATAAGTCAATACCAACGATGGAGTGTTTGGAGTCGAATAAAATAAATCTATGAGTATATTTTACTTCCATACAAAAGTGCTTTGTAAGACAACTGTGCACAACACCACTTTAGCGTTCCTGTTTTCAACATTTTAATGGAAAAAAACAACACAGAATTAAGACCGTCACTTCAAGCTGTGCATAGCACAGTACAAATACTCAAACATTAAAAATAACCAAAAAGCAAAGTAGAACACATTAGCAAAAAACACTAACATTTAGGAGATAATTGTACATCATTGCACAAGTCTATGTTGAAATGTCTGTGCAATTATTGCAGCATATTTACACTAAAATTGTCTGGTTCTGAAATGGAGATCTATGTATGAAATCCAACAGTTTCTTATTAGGTTTTGGGGGAGAGACTGGTTATGCAATCTAACATTTGGAGTATTTGCATCAGATGTGACAGTTTTCCTGTTTTTTCCCCTTTTACTTTAATTTCATAGTTCCCATTTAGAGATTCAGTGATCAGAACTTTCCTTTCAATATCGACTTCTGGTTTAATTTGAGGTTTTATCTGGTGATTTGCACTCCGAAGGACCATAACACATGTAGCAGTTTTGAATCCATTGGAAGATGGAGCGTAAGCGAAAGATGACGTGTCAAACACTAAAGCATTTTGGACAGATTACTTTTTTTGTTTGCTTTATAAATACGCTAGCTGACAGTCAGCAAACTCATTAGCTTTAACAAAGCTAGGTTCTTCATAATTTAGAGACTATGTAATGAAACACACCCCTGTCACCTGAATGCACTTACCATGAGCATAAAACCACAGTTTACATGAAATACCATTCCACCATTGAATTTGGAGTTATATAACAAAAGCACAGAGTCTGTATTGTTAAACACATTTACTCAAGGAGTTTATTCTCCACTTAATTTGTGTTAAAACACAACAGAAATGATTTAATGTATAATCGACAACAATTATGTACAAACAGAGCTCCAAGAAGCAGAATTATTCACAAACTATACAAATTCAGCCCTTTAAATCCACATCTGAATTCATTCATTTCACACAATGAACTTTACAGAAAATGGTAGCATGTTTTTTTTTTGCTAAATTAATATAAATTAACTATCTTTGTCACAAACAAATAGAAACACACATGCTTTGAAAACCTTGTTGCACGACAATGGTTCATCGAACCGTTTAGAGATCCTTTCATTTGTATTTGGCAGAAAAATCATACATATTTGGGGCAAGAGTTTGTGCACATACACAGAGCCGCTCAAAAGTATTCATATCTGTTAAACGGCTTCATGTTTCGTCATGTTACAGCCGCAAACGTGAAGGTGTTTTATTGGGATTTTAAGTGACCAATCAACATCAAGTTGTAAACATTTGAGAAATAGACAGAAATGCGAATGGATTTCAAATACAAATCTGAAAAGTGCTTTGCCCCTTTCACTTTAAAATCCCTAAATAAAAACACAAGTAACTAATTGGTGAACAGTTTTGAGTGTGATTTAATCTCCCAACAAATTCAGCTGTTCTCTTAAGGCCTCAGAGGTTTGTTGGTAACAAACATCATGAAGAGAGGAAGAGGACAGACGACGTGTCAGCGATAAAGTTGTGGAGAAATTTAAAGCAGAGATAAGTTACAAAATACCCAGTGCAGAGCACCATTCAAGTCGCCAGAAAATGGAAGAGGTGCTGCACAACTACAGCCGAGATGGGTCTGGCAAACACAGAATTAATCTGGTAATTCTGGAGGAGCTGCAGCCATCCACAGCTCAGGTGGGAGAATGTACTGACAAGACAACCACAAGTCATCATTTCCACAAGACTTCCCTTTATGGAAATGGCAAGAAGAAAAGCATAAAAAAAAAAAAGCCATATGAAGCTCTGTTTAAAGTACACCAAAGGCCATGATAGGAACCCAGTGAACATGTGAGAGAAGGTGGTCTGCTGAGTTGAGTCTACAACTTCATTTTTTTTTAGAGAATATGTGATGGAAAACCGACACTTTATGTCACAACGAGCACAACATTAATGTGACGTGAAAGTCACATTAATGTGACTGTGGAAATGTTTTTGTTCTGCAGGGATAGAGCAGAGTTAATGTGAAGTGTGGTGGAGCTAAATATACAAACAGGAAAATTCTAAAACTAAAAAAAAAAACAATAACAAAAACTGGTTGCAGGATGCATCAGCATTGAGGGTGGGGCAGAGGTTCACCTTCCAGTAAAGCAATAACCCTAAACCTTCAGCCAGACCCACCATAAAATTACCTAGGTCAAACTTAAAGTTTAACAACAGGCCAAAGTGCAGACTTAAATATGATTGACGCGCTGTGGCAAGACCAACAGTAGCTCCATTCCCTCTGATTTCAAGCCATTTTTCATATTTCAAGCTGATGGAGTGACCTGAATCAAAAACTGAAGCAAACTGTGGATCAACTTTGTATTAACTCAGGAGACTAAATACAAATGCAAGCCACAATTTTTATATTTTAATTACTAAAACACCTCCGAATACGTGGATTTCCTTTCACTTTGGATTTTGTCACTGTGTTGATGTGTCAGATAAAACTCAATAAAACAAATAAAAGATACAGCTGTGAATAATTGTGATTTTTCTCGTTAAATTTGTCAGGTTTCAATGGTGCTTGTTGTTGTCGTCGTCGTCGTCGTATACTTTTCGGCATGACAAATATGCAGTCCAAGGTACAGAATTTCACACGTTTCATAAATTAGCAAGTAAGAACTGTGAAGTGAATGGCAGCGTCGCAGAACTGACTGCAGCTTCAGAAGTCGATGTAAATGTTCAGTAACGCCAGAAAATGTTTCTAGAAACATATTCGCCTCGTGTCATCAGGTTCCGTCGGCCTTCTACAAACTGAATCCCATCAAAAAAGGGAAAATGCATAACTTCATTCAACTGCACAAGTGCAGCTCACGCAAACTTTGTGCAGCATCTGAAGGTTGTCTCTTGCAGACACTAACATTATTGCCTTTTCAGTTCACATTAAATTATTTTCTGAATGTGCAAACAGCAGAGTTACATACCACTTATCAGATTCAACAGCAATAATTGATCAGGCTTTTCAAACAAACTGTGGTAACGGTTTATAGTCCCTCCACCTGCTGGTCTCCACAGGAGTTCATCGCAGCAGGGGCAGTGAATGTACGCCGTGAGCTCAAATGTCCACGTCGTCCGAGTCCGATGTGCTCGAGGACTGGGTTTCCTCCTGACTTTCTCCCCATACAAACCTGTAGTTGTTTTCAAGCTCCTGCTGCCTCTTTTGCTCTTTATAAACCTCCTCTGTGCCTCCAGTCTGTGGGGTAAATCAAAAAAACAAATTAGAAAGATGCAGTGTTATTTGACTTGCAAAGTTAAAATTTGGTTAAAAGTGCATGCTTCTAAAGCTCTACGGGTTTAACACAAAGGAGTGGCGCGATGCAGACTCCAGAGTCAACAGCAAATGCAAACCAAATTCGCTGTTTTTGCCCATAGGTGTCTGTTACTCTGCAGTCTGAAAGGCCCAATTCTGATCTTTTCACCCCCCAAAATTAGGATTTGTGCCACTTCCATATGTGGTATTGCATTGGATAATCATCCAATTGTTTTCAAACGCCTGAACAGTCATGTTGCATTTTACTTTTACATCACTGATGTGAGAAATGCATCATAATTCTACAGAAGAAAAAGCCAGAAGAATTAAATCTGGATGCAAACATTGGCTGAACATTATGATTGTGAACTTATGGAAGAAAGTCGTCACTGCAGCACAGCTCATCATAATCCCGTCGCTCCTGGTCGGACTCCACATCCAAGCAAAACATCATCTCTATTAGTTGTGCTTTTTTTTCCCTTAATTTACTTCCTTCGTGGTGTTGTGATTTTTTGACAAAAATGTTGGCTCTCGTTGCTGAATAAACTTTGAAACCAATCGTTAGATGGTACCATCCATTAGTGTTTTGGTAAACAATGTTGTTCTGCATATGTGGGTCGCTTTGTGGTCCAAAACTGCTCACACATAAGTCTGACTGCGGTAGGATTTAGTAGTGTGAATGACCACTCAAAAAAACCACACAAAAAACCCCAGAATTGAGCATAAAAGAAATGTTTAATGACCAGGCCTTTGCAAACCTTGTTGATTTGCCAGTGAAGCCTTTAGATTCAGATATGGTGTGCCAGAAACTGGACTTAAGTGACTGGAGTTTGACCCCTTTGGTGAATGTTACACAGGAGTACACCAACCTCTATTTCTACCTTTAAAAAAAAAAAAAAAAAAAAAAAAAAAACGTTGTTAGTGGCAGCCCCGTTAAAACAAACTAAAATAGCTCCCTGATTAACTGAATGTGAAGCCAAGTAATGCCTAAAAAGTAATAGTAAAAGAAGATTTCCATTTTTACACGTTTTAAATCTCACTGCGATGTCAGCAATAACAGACCGAGAAAAGGGGAAGGAACTCTGCGTCATCGCGCCCGGACAAGAACCTTGAAGCTGAAGCAGAATCGTCT